ATATTAATTTTGATGAAATATCGCAATTTCATGCTTAACTGTGGCTCCGTTCTCTGACAGAATGAATAAAAAACTCTTCCTTTTGCAGCTCCTGGCTGATAGAAGCTGTGATATCGGCGACGTTTCTAATGAGGATTAATAAACGAGACGTGAAGAATACAGTGATTGAGATGAAATATTACGATTTTAAGCTCAGATTAGTTTGTATTTATTTGTTTGTAATCAGCTGAAGGACAGCTTTAGTTCCTGATCAATACGTGGTGTCATTTTTGCAGGTTGATTTGAAGACAACGTGGCTCTCAAACCTCTCGGCAGGTTTTGGGGTTCAGAGGGCTAAAAGCGAAACCAGTAACTTCCATTAACTCTCTGCAGCGTGACATCCTTCACGAGGAATCATTGTGCAAACAGGCAGGAGGAGGATGGACACGTCTGACTGGCTGTTCTCTACAGCGGGTCGCCCTGTGATGACGGATGGACATGGGGAGGCGGTTTCGGTCGTGAGTTATGACTTAACAAGAGGAAGAAACATGCCATCGGTTACTTGCTTGGAGCTCCTCTTGTGTTTGGGGCTCAACTGCCCCAAAAGAAGCAAATAAACTATCCGCACAGGAATCAGGAGACAGAGAGACAAGACATGATGGTGACAACTCCATCGACCACAACTTCAGCTCAGTTCTGCGTCAACGCGTTCCGTCTTTACCTCGTTTTTTGTGGGAAAACGCCAGGTCCAGGTCGACGTTCCTGCGTCCGCTCTGAAAGGGAGAAGATGGTAAATCGAGGTACAAACACAGAGCATACAGACGTGCTGGGATCAGACAGAGGAGTGTTGTTACCAGAGTGTAACCCTCTTCGTCCGACTCCGGCTGGGACAGGTCAGACTCGCTCCTGGACTTCATCAGCCGGTAGCTGGGGCTGCTCTGGACCGAGCGGCTCTCTGCACTCAGACTCTCACTTCTACAACCCAGAAAGACGGAAATCAGTTAATCAGTAGCCAGAAATACACCTGAAAACAGATCAGACATGACTCCCAAAGAGCTTTTAATGCAAATGAAAACAACAGACATACAGTCATAAAAACTAAAGTGATAAAAAACTGAATACATTAAAATGGAAGTAAAAAACTAAAAGTAAAGTGAGACATAAAGAGCAAAGTGACAAAAGACTAAAAAGTGTAATAAAAGTTAAAAAATAATAACAATAATAATAATAAGACGAGAAACAAGAAGAAGAAGAAGAAGACGAGGAAGAAGACGACGAAGAAGAAGAAGAAGAAGAAGAAGAAGAGAAAGACGAGGAAGAAGACGACGAAGAAGAAGAGGAAGAAGAAGACATGTCAGTAATTGTTGTTCCACAGACTGTAATAACTAAATGCTGCCTCACTGAAGGGTTTTATTCTCACTGTTGGTTTAATAAAAAGCTGTGGAGAGTTTCTCTTCCCTCCATGATTAACGTCTGAGTTAAAAAGAGCATCGACTGGTTTCTGGGCTGCAGCAGGTAAAGACTAAACATTATCTAAAAGCTTGACGGTTCCCATCGTTCCTCGACCACTTCTCATCTCAGAAGGTTTCAGAGCTCCGAGGACAAACTGTAGTAATCATAATAACGAGTCATCAGGTTCTGTCTTGTTCGCAGAGCTGCAGGTAAAACATGTGGATAAAGACCGACGCCTGATGAAACTTGTTGAAATTACTCAGAAGTAGGTCAACGCTTTAGAGACGTGTGGAGTCAGCAAACGTCTGCTGAAGCACAGAGAACACACCTGAACCTGTAGACCTGATACGATCAGCAGAACGTCCGGAGGTCTACGGTGAAGCTGCACTGTTAGCATTTAGGGACAATTACTAACTAATGAACACTAATATTCAGGAAAAGGAGACTCTCAGCTGTCCTCATGAACCACTTTCTCTGTGCAAAATAACAAAATAATTAAAAAATAAATTTGTATTTATTTTCATTTATATTTCTGCTTTTATCAGCCTTTTCTTTTGTGGATTCGTTTTTGATTAATTTTGCTTTATATTACCACATTATTTATTTTTTATTTTATTTATTCTTTTAATTTCCGCTTTTATTTTATTTTATTTATTTTTTTGTAATTTGGCGCTCTCACTACTCCATAAAAACCTGCAGAAAGTGGGTCAGCAGGCAATTAAAAATAAAATTAAATGAATTAAATTAAATTAAATTAAATTAAATTAAATAACAGTATTTGCTATATGCAGCTCTAACATCACAGATACTATTTAAATATCCAGACTTCGTGATGAAGTTTCCAGTCGGACCAGAAGGACCCGGTTCAAGACGTAATGAAACCTGAAGCTGGTTCAGGTTCAGCGTCCTGAGGTTCTGACCTGGTCATGAAGCTCAGACACTCCTGGGTTCCTGTAGTGCTCTGGGCCTGTCCGTCCTCCTGGTTCTGCTTGGTGAGCTCCCCCAGAACCGGGCTGACTCCCAGAACCAGCAGCGCACAGCGGTGGATGACGGAGTTGCAGGCGGCGGTGTACAGGTCCTGTCCCTCTGGGAGGCCGGTGCTGCCCCGTCGGCCCTCCTGGGACAAGATGGCATCCTCGTCCCCGCCTCCTCCGCCGCCGCTCCGGGAGACGGAGCCAGAACCGAGCCCGGTGCTGCTGCTGGCCCGCTCACGGTCCCGGCTGCGAGCCACCTCCCGCGCTGAGAGGAAACATTGAAAGATTTCTGTGTTGTGCAGCGAAGCACAAACGATGGAACAGACACACGAGATGCAGAGTTAGAGGACGAGCAGCAGCCGGGCAGCACAGAGCTAGGCTGGTTCTGGTTCTGGTTCTACTGGAGCAGCACAGAGCTAGGCTGGTTCTGGTTCTGGTTCTACTGGAGCAGCACAGAGCTAGGCTGGTTCTGGTTCTGGTTCTACTGGAGCAGCACAGAGCTAGGCTGGTTCTGGTTCTGGTTCTACTGGAGCAGCACAGAGCTAGGCTGGTTCTGGTTCTGGTTCTACTGGAGCAGCACAGAGCTAGGCTGGTTCTGGTTCTGGACTGGTTCTACTGGGTTTTATTGGTTCTACACAGGTCCTACTGGTTCTATACCAGTTCTACTAGATAATAGTGGTTCGATACTGGTCCTACTGGATCTATGCTGGTTCTATACTGGTTCTACTACATCTATATTGGTTCTACTGGATCTCATTGGTTCGATACCAGTTCCACTGGATCACAGTTGTTCTAGACTGGCTCTACTGGATCATAGTGTATTGATACTGGTTCTGCTGGATCTATACTTGACTGGATCTAGACTGGATCTAAATGGTTCTACACTGGTTCTGCTGGATCTCACGAGTTTCTATACCTATTCTACTGGATCTCACTAGTTTCTGTACTGGTTCTACTGGATCTCACTGGTTCTATACTGGTTCTATTGGATCTCACTGGTTCTATATTGGTCCTACTGGATCATAGTAATTTCTACATTGGTTCTACGGTGGTTTTACCAGACTTCACTGGTTCCTATCCTGGTTCTGCTGGTTCTAGCTGGTTCTACTGGATCCCACTGGTTCCTATACTGGTTCTACTGCGTTACACACAGTTGATCCCAGTGGGTTTTTGGTTCCTTCTGTCACACATTGCTGTCTAAAGAGAATCCAGTGGACACCTGCTGAACTCGTTGGGTTTGTCCGTCTACATGTTGGAGGTCTGACCTTCCTGCTATGAGGTGACCATGCTGTCAGAGTTAAACTGATGCTGTCAGAGTTAAACTGAACACATCGGAGGGAAGCTGATTCATTGACTTCTGAACATCTGCGGATGGTCAAACAGGGAACTTCTATTTCCTCTAAAGTTTCGGACTTCACCGTTTGTCTGAAGATTAAACATGTTCTCTTCTGTTCCTAAACTGCTTCACATCTGCCTCTGACCTGATCCAGCTGCATAGCTTCAACACATCATGAGAAACATGAACTATCTCGTTAATACACTACAACTGCATTTAAAATGGCGGTGCACATACATTATGTGTATAAATATGTAACATGGCAAAACATTCAACAGGCAACAAGCAGATTCAGTAGCAGGCAGGTTAACAACATTCAGTGTTTATATATCATATGATATAATATAGATATTATATCACAGCAGTGGGTTCAGTCAGATCACAGTGTGGCTCCAGACGGACGAACTTACTTCCGGCCGTCATCACTTCGTGCTCCCGGTCCTCCTCCTCGTCGTCCTGCTCCTGGTGACCCTCCTCTCGCTCGCGGTCAGCTCGCTCCTCCAGCTCAGCCTCCTCGTCGATGGTTCTGGTGAACGAATGTTCCTGAGGGTCCATGTCCAGGGAGTCCTGGTTGTCTGAGATCTGAGGAGTGCAAACAAACGGTCGGTTCAGGGTTTGCTACTGCTAATAAACCAAACTGAACAAATGGAGAAGACTCAGAGTGACTGTACCGACAAGTCAGGGAACCCACGAAAACAACCTCTGAATGGAAACGAGTGTTTTTACTCTTCATGATTTATGACTTTTTCTATTTTTAACAGATGTTTTTTTTATCCTGTTTTGCTGCTATTTTTCGCTGCTGTATGAACAAACTGTTGACTCACCCTCCTCTCTCGGGAAGAAGACCTGGTCTGGATGAAGTCCATGTTCTTACAGGCCAGCAGCCGGTTCCGTACCTTGTAGACGCTGCGGTACACTTCGGCCAGAGACTTGGACGGCTGGTACCTGGTGACGGTGAACATACGTGTGGTGTTTAACGGAACAGAGCAGCATGTAAACAGTGGGCGCTCCATGTCAGGTGTCTGTATTTATGTATGTATATATATAGATGTTCCGGTACCTTCCTTCTCCGCAGGCTTGGCCCAGCAGCCCCGTATGCTTCAGCAATGCTGCCAACACAAACCTGGACACGGTGTCCAGCAGGGACTCGTTACTGAGAGACGCGTTGTCCCAGTCTGCAACAGAAACAGCAGCGTTCAGGGCTGGTTACAGACCATCTGGTACCCTTTACCACCAAGAGGAACCAGGCGCTATTCTCGTAGATCAATCGTAGCAGCTGGACTTGTTTGAGTTCCTTGAAGACGTTCCACCTCTCATCCAAGAGGCTTCATCAGTTCTGACTGACTAGTTGGGAGTTCTAGATACTGACATCCTGAAGGAGACGTTAACACCTGAGTTTAGGTTTAAAGGTGTTAATGTCTCCTTCAGGATATCAGCATCTGGAACTCCCAACCAGTCAGTCAGACCTGATGAAGCCTCTTGGATGAGAGGTGGAACGTCTTCAAGGAACTCAAGCAAGTCATCGGTCTTGGTGGTCACGATAACCCCGCCCCCAGCCCCTGATGTACTCGGTGCTTAGCTCTGGTCCAGCACAGAGTTGGTTCTTGCTAAGCACCAGTTCTGAGAACCTGGAGTTGGTGCTTAGGTGGTGAAAGGCCTGGTGCTAAGTCAGGCTCTGGCTCTGAACTGGACCTGGAACCAGCTCGGTGGAGGAGGGGTAAGACAGGACAGAGCTCGTTATGTGGGGACTGGAGGCAGACCTTTGCTGATGGCGTAGTCCTGCATGTTGATCCAGAGGCTGTTGGCCGGTTCCTTAGACGAGCCCAGAGCCAGATCCACCAGGACGCTCAGGTCAGGACGCAGCGTGCAGTCGAAGGGCTTCTGCTCCTCGTTGCCGGACAGAGCGGCTTCCAGTAGGGAGCTGATGCAGGTGTCTGCAAGAGAACAGACTTTTAGTCAACATCCGACTCCAGCAGAGATCTACCGACCATCAGGGCCGACATCAGCATGTTTCTGCTGAATGTCGTGTTCCTCCATCAGCTGATTCCACCTGTTTTTACAGTTTCTGATCGATAAGTGGTGTCATTTTTGCAATTTGTTTTAAAAAAAAATATGTCTTTCAAACCTCTATAGAGGGTTAAACAACAAACCGGTAACTCTCTGAAGTTTCACAGCTTCTCGGTTGTTTCTGTGTTTTATAACAGTGCAAATAGCTCACATTTGGTGAAAATTAGAAATGCTGAGCTGAGGAGGGTTTGTGCTGTTTAACAACACGTTGCACATGATTTGCTCAGTAAGTTAAAAATCCAACAACTGTTTCTGTTTTTATTGATTCTGGCTCATACATGCTCCTATGTTTTCTCATTTTGGTTTTTTAATCAGCAATATCTGGCACAAGAATGTCCCTCAGGATTCATAAAGGTTCATCTTTATCTTATCTCTAATCTATTTTTTTTAATCTCATCTTCATCTCATCCTATCTTCCCGTGTGTCCACGCCGTACCTAGCTGAGGGATGTCCATCTCCAGGCCGTTGCTGAACAGCGGCGTCTTTAACCAGTAGGCGGTGTCCTGCTCCTCCAGTGAGGTCGGGGCTCCCTGCAGCATCCCGCCGAGGCAGCGTCCGACCAGCAGGGCCACCGTCCTCTCCAGGTCCACCAGCCAGACCCAGGACAGGGCTGGCTGGGGCAGGGACATCCCCGAGGCCGGCTCCGCAAAGTCCGACGTACCTGGAACGGCATGAAAGGTTCTGGTCAGGGGCTGAGAGTTATTTTGAAAAGATAACACAATTTAAACTTCACTTGGACTAAATGTACCTCCAGAACTGCACATCACACAGGATGGGCTGAAGGTCCAACGAGAGAAAATGTGCTGATTCTTTATGGTTTTGCAGTTTCTGGCTGATAAAGCTGAACATTTTGGGTAATCTTTGGTGACAATTTTAACCTTAGATTTGGGTATTTTTCCCAACGTAACTGTAGAAAATCTGTCGGTTCTTTCTGGTTTCACAGTTTCTGTCTGATAAATGTCATTTTGGTGATTTATCCTAAAGCAGGGGTGTCCAATCCTGGTCCTCGAGGGCCACAGTCCTGCATGTTTTAGATGTTTCCTTCTTCCAACACACCTGATTCAAATGATCAGGATGGTTATCAGGCTTCTGCAGAGCTTGATGATGAGCTGATCATTTGAATCAGGTGCATTGGAAGAGGGAAACATCTAAAACATGCAGGACTGTGGCCCTGGAGGACCAGGATTGGACACCCCTGCTCTAAAGAAAACATAGCTTTCAACTTGCCATCGGGTTTTGGAGTTTCAAGACTTGAAACAAACACCCAAAAATGAAATAAACCTGTCAATGTGCAGAATGTGGGCTCTGTAACTGCTACATTAGACATCTAGAACATCTAGAAAAAACACAAAACCTAAACCTTATTCTAACACCTACAGTAAACCTGAAACTCATTTTCGTTTCTGATTCTCACCGTGCAGCGGCCACTGCAGCTCCTGGTCCTCCAGCGGCGAGGCGGCGGGCAGCAGCCGGTTCAGCCGGTCCAGAGGAGGCAGCAGGTCCAGCAGGTGGCTCAGCAGAGGCCTGGCCACCGACACCGGCAGCAGCAGCAGAGAGTTGACGATCTGACACAGCATGCTGCCGGCCGCCGACACGTAGATCACATCTGGAGACGGATTAATAAAGACTTAATAAAATAATCAACAGAGACAGTAAAACACTGGTAATAAAACAAACACAGCAGATAAAATCCAGAGGAAAATGATGAGTTGTAAGCTTTCTGTTAAAGACACTGTCAGGCTCTAAGTCTCAGCTCCATCAACACAAGTCAGGAGGAAACAGGTGTCCGGTGACTTTAAAGCAGTGTAACGTGGGCTCTCTGCTTCACCTTGCAGCTTCTCTCGGATGCTGCCGTTCCAGGAGCTTTCTTTGATCAGAGCTGCTGATCTGGAGAAGATGTCTGTGGCGTGAGGCAGCAGCAGCTGGAGGTGTTTGTGCAGCAGAGCGACGCTGCTCGAGTTCTGCACACGAACAAGAGAGAGTTAACAAAGCTTTAATACATCTGAAACACCTCAGCATCAGCAATGAAGCTTTCTGGGCTGAAATCA